TAACGTGAGCTGCTCCTTCCCCAGTGATTTTCAACTTTTAATGGTGCAACTAGTAGTTAGATATGGTTCAAAGGGCAACAAAACAATAAAATTTAATTATAAATAGATGTATACTGTTATAAGCTTAAAGCTATTAAGGATAAACAAATGTAGTTTCATGTTACAATTTGAAGTCATTCCCTAAAGAAAAAAAGGGTAATTTAGATTTATTTAGTTTTTTTTTGGTGGTTACGAGGTCAAATTGACCGATCCCATATAGAGTTAGGGTAGAGAAAATAACATATAATATAAAGTTTTACTGAAAAAAAAACCTTTTAAATGTATTTAGGAGGTTTTAGGGATTACACAAAGGAAATTTTGAGATGAAGAAAGTATTTTTAATCTTAACATGAAAATTACTTTGTACACGGATTATACAAAATAAATACTCAATATATTCATGGACAAATCTTTTAGTTTATTAAAAATACTTCACTAAAAAATATGATTTTTTGGATGTGAAAGACTTGTAATGTTAACTGAAAGACTGCCAAATTTTGTGAAGATATACACACTATATTGAAATGGACACTCTCCAGATCCCTACCTACTTATACAACATTATATAATGCAATTATTAATTTCTGGAAAAATGGGTGGAGGGGGTTTGGCTCCCCTGTACTAGATCCATGCTTGCTTATACAATATTAAAGAATAGTTATTAATTCCTGAAAAATTTCAATTAATTGTTAATGGAATAATCAAAAATAGTAATAATTGAAAATGCTAATATTGATTGGTTGATTACTTTCATGACATTAATTGTAATTTTGATTAATCTATTAGTTTGCAATACATCAAACAATATAATTGTTGCTCACAGGTAATCAATTAATTCCTCTAGTTCAATGTTAAATGTACATCAATTGTTCTTTACATTAATTCATTTTTAGCTGTAAGTGAGCTAGAGATTATACAGCTACTCATTTGTTTATGTATATTTATATTATTTTCCATATATAGCAATTTATTGTACTAACCGGAATGAGCTATTTGTTTATGTATGTATGTATGCAAGTATGTGCACTTTGAAGTGTTGTAATTATTCCTTGTTTTTACATGATACTACATTTTTTTTCCAATTTCATGAGTGTTTAATATCTAGATAAGTTTAAATTATACCAAAGTACTGAGCTTAAAAACAAAACTTTGTATTAGAATATTAGTAATTTTTAATTTCTATTGTTTTACAAAAAAGTAAGCGTCATGTTTTTGAAGGTACTTGAAATTTATACCTTTATAAAACTTTTATTTCAACAATAAAGGCAGTGGTGTTTTTAGAGGATTTAAGTTATTTAAACCTTGTTTAATTAATTGTTTTCCAAATATATGCTATTCATATTAAACTTTGTTGTGTTTGTTTATTAAAATAGTACTACTAGTTTAAAGTATTCATTAATCTTTTTAGATGCTGAACCTGAGTTAGAAGAAACATCAAAAATACAGAACTTTGAAGAAACTGTTGAGAGGTAAAAATTAATTTTGAAAAGAAACCCAAAACAAGAAATGTATTAATTACCTATACAAGAAAGTTCATTGTTAACCATTTATATTTGTCCTCTTTCATTATCTATTAAATAATGTTCAATGCTTGTATATTTATACACAATGAACTGATATAGTTAAATGCCATGAATCTATACATGAAATGTTGATAAGTTGTGTAATATTGGATCATCACAACAATATATACACCTGGAAAAAAGTTAAGCACCCCCAAATATTTTTCAGGATTGCTTATTGAAAATAAGGTTTAATTTTCATGATGTTGAGCAATGTTCATAATTTCAAACATAATTAAAAGGATGTGAGCGTTCAGGTGTGACATTCAAATCAGGTGCGTTTTTTTCCCCACGTGCAACTTGCTCCCTTCTTCACGTCCAATATGCACTATTTTCTCGGGCATCCAATCTGTATTTAAGTCCCGACTTTCTG